CTGCGGGAACACGAAATGATTTCACTGAAGAAAGATATTAATGAAGTACCAAGTAAAAAGTTCCCATACGACGAGGCTATTAGGCGATCACATGACATTATTCTGGTGAAAACTTGCAGAGATTTTGAAGGGAAATATATAGATTATCTCTCAAATTTGACTTCCAAGAAAGTTGTCCCCGTTGGTTCGCTAGTTCAAGAAACCATGGATCAAGATGATTATAAGGAAATCGCCCAATGGCTTGACAAGAAAGAGAAAAGTTCAACTGTATTCGTTTCATTTGGGAGTGAGTATTTTCTATCCAAGGAGGAAATACTTGCAGTAGCTCAAGGGCTAGAGCTTAGCAAAGTGAACTTTATTTGGGTTATCAGGTTTCCACAAGGTGAAAGAATGAACATTCGAGATGCATTACCCAAAGAATATCTTGAAAGGGTAGGAGAAAGAGGAATGGTTATCGAAGGATGGGCTCCTCAAGCAACAATTCTTCAACATCCATCGATAGGTGGATTCGTGAGTCACTGTGGATGGAGTTCATTCATGGAAAGTATGAAGTTTGGTGTGCCTATAATTGCCATGCCAATGCACATTGATCAACCAATGAATGCTAGGCTTGTGGAATATATCGGTGTGGGAGTGGAAGCAGCGAAGGACGAGGATGGTAAGTTACAAAGTGAAGAGATTGCAAAGGCGATAAGGGAAGTGGTAGCCGAGGAAAGTGGGGAGGATGTGAGGAAGAAAGTTAAGGAAGTGAGTGAGAAGATGAACGCGAAAGAGGATGAAGAGATAGATGGTGTGGCGGAAGAATTGATGGCACTTCGTACCAATAAATGATTAGCAATAAGAGTAAATGTTAGTCTAGTGTAACTCAACTGTTATAGCAAGTTGAGAGTACTAATCATCTTGTTACCAATAATCACTACAAGTAATAACCTTTTAAAATGATTCAGCAGAATGTAGGTTGTATCCAAGAAAAGAACATGCATGAAGGTGTAATTCCAAGCCAGCACTATGCGTGAATCAGAACAGACTGTTAACATCACACGACACACATTCCACAGAGAAATACGCGCAATTTCATGCGTTAAGACATGATGTAAAATAAAGGGAAACTAGTGAAGATGCAAAACCAAACATTAACCAATAACAGTCAACAAGCAAATTCATTTTCGAAGCATTTAGGACAGGGGAATTGTTGTCTTGAAAACTCTAGCAAATTAAAGGTGTACATAACAGAAAAAACTCAGTGAAGCATTATATCAAACACATTGTTCGCATAGATAATACATAAGTAAACTAATTAATTAACGTAATACCTAAATATACTATTTAACTTGGTTTCAACTAACATTTATATTTTTCAACTTTGGGTAAGCACAAGTAAATTCAAGATCAAAATTAAGTATAATTTATTCTAAATCCATATATAAGTGGATTCGCATTTATCTGACATATATAGACAAATCTAGCTCGCCTCTATCGCCTCCTTCCATCTCGTTTGCCACTCATCTATGTGGTTGGCATACTAGATACATGCGAATTAAATAGATACAAGTACATAAATATGTATTTATGGTGATTCACATGAATTTGAGATACATGACTATCTGCGTTTCTATTTCGGTAACTTTTCTCTCTATTTTAGTGTATTTGACAGCAACAATACATATATTTCTTAATATAAAATACAAAACTCTTAATTAATGATAAAATATGTCATAGTTTAGAAATATATGTAGATAATGTTTTTGTGTTGGGGGTGGTTTGTGATGGCAATATACCTAAAATTTTTATTAGCTTGTATTAAAATTTATATATATCCTCATGCTCATAATAATTAATTTAATTATACATAGATGATACATTATTTTTTCTCATTTGCTTTATTCCCACGTGACACTATCAATCAGATAGCTTGAAAAATAATCGATATGAGTTTGGTCCCAGAAAATAATATCACGTAGATTAAAAACGAGTAAAAAATTATGAATATAGATTAATAGATATTTATACATTTTCTCAATTAAATTAACGAAAATAGCTTTTATTTTTAATTATTAGGTGGACGGCTGGCTCTAGAGGTAGTGTTGAATCTAGTAAAAACATTTATTCTATTGATTTAGGCAAAAGAAAATGTAATAACTTTAATTTAAGTGAGTTAGGCAGGAATAAAAAAATATATTTTTTGAAACATGTTTTATAGAAAATGAGTTAATTTTATATTATTTTTTGTTGTTTGACATATAAATTTAAAAAATATGACATACAATACAATGTTGATGTGGCATATTAATCATGTCAATAAATATAGTTTTTTTTTTAAAAATAAAATCAATCCTCTTAATTTTTTCCAATTAAATAGTTATTAATTCATTAATCTTACTTCCTATCAGCCGCCCAAAGCATAAAAATGTACATTTTCTTCTAGAAAGAGCAGAAAAAAACACAAATAAAAGTTGAAAACTCCGAGAGTTTTGAGGTACTAATATATATAAATGTATGTATATCTTGTGATTTTTACTGTTTATCGGTTGAAAAAAGGATAAAAAATAATATAGGAAAAATCATATGTGAATAATTAAAATTTCGTAAACTAATTATATTTACTATAAAAAAAATTGAGCATAATAATAACATAGCATGTTATATCAGTATCAAATTATATGATATAGTTCGAATGAATACCAAAAGAAAATCTCTAATTACCTAGATAAGTCACACAAGAAGTCACTTACATAAAACTTGCCTAAATTTTGTAACTTAATTTTTTCAACCAATTGCAATCACACAACATGTCACTTTGCATAAGATTTGGCTACAAGTCTATAAAATAAAACAAAAAACTCAACAACCAATCATATTAAACAAGGGGCGCGATAGAATGATAATATTTTTTTTATTTTTAATAAGAAATTTTCGACTTGAGCTTTAATACAACTGTCACCTTTATTAGGTAAAGTTTTAATTATTCCGTTATGTCTTCAACTCTCTTCAACATAAATAAGGTAGCCAAGACACCAAACTCCATAGCTTTTCGCATTACACCTGCTAACAAACTCGACAAACAAGAGCTTGATCATGGGAACACAAGTAACAGAGCATGGTACTAGTAATTTGAGGGTAGTGATGTTCCCATGGTTAGCTTATGGACACATTTCACCATTTCTATACGTGGCCAAGAAACTCGCGGACAGGGGATTCTTGATTTACCTCTGTTCTACACCGATAAATCTCAAATCCACCATCGAGAAAATCCCTGAAAAGTATGCTGATTCGATTCACCTTATCGAGCTTCACTTGCCAGAATTACCCGAACTTCCTCCTCATTACCATACGACGAATGGTCTCCCACCCCATCTCAATCACACCCTTCAAAAGGCCCTCAAAATGTCCAAACCAAACTTGTCGAAAATCTTGAAAAATCTGAAGCCTGATTTGATGATTTATGACGTATTGCAGCAATGGGCTGAACGTGTCGCGAATGAACAGAGCATTCCAGCAGTCAGGCTACTAACTTTTGGTGCAGCTGTGTTTTCGTATTTTTGTAACTTAGTAAAGAAACCAGGGGTTGAATTCCCTTTCCCTGATATTTATCTCAGGAAGATTGAACAAGTAAAATTGGGTGAAATGTTGGAAAAATCTGCTAAAGATCAAGATCCTGATGATGAAGAACGTTTAGTGGATGAATATAAACAAATCGCGTTGATATGTACCTCAAGAACTATAGAGGCAAAATATATAGATTTTTTGTTAGAATTGAGCAATTTGAAAGTTGTTCCTGTTGGTTCACCAGTTCAAGATTTGATCACTAATGACGCGGACGATATGGAGCTAATTGATTGGTTAGGATCAAAAGATGAGAATTCAACTGTTTTCGTTTCCTTTGGGAGTGAGTATTTCTTGTCAAAAGAAGATATGGAAGAAGTAGCTCTCGGGTTGGAGTTAAGTAATGTTAATTTCGTATGGGTCGCAAGATTTCCAAAAGGGGAGGAGCAAAATCTCGAAGATGCTTTACCAAAAGGTTTTCTTGAAAGAATCGGAGAAAGGGGAAGAGTTTTGGATAAATTCGCACCACAACTAAGAATTCTGAATCATACAAGTACGGGAGGATTTATAAGTCATTGTGGTTGGAATTCAGTTATGGAAAGTATACATTTTGGGGTTCCTATAGTTGCCATGCCTATGCATCTTGATCAACCAATGAATGCTAGGTTGATCGTAGAATTGGGAGTTGCGGTGGAGATTGTTAGAGATGATGATGGCAAAATTTATAGAGAAGAAATTGCGAAAACTCTTAAAGATGTCATAACAGAGAGAATAGGGGAAAATTTAAGGGCGAAAATGAGAGAGATTAGCAAGAATTTGAATTCTATAAGTGGTGAAGAGATGGATGCTGCTGCTCATGAACTAATCCAATTTTGTAAGATTAGTACTAATTAACATAATTATATTGTATGTGAGTTCTTTCATGTTCTTGTTGATGGTCAAAAAACATTAAGATTGAAAAAATGAGAAAAATAAAAAAAGATGTTACCTATAAATTGATCTTACAATTCAACATTTTCAAATAAGACTTTGTTTAGCTTTCAATTCCAATTCTCAATAGTAACAAGTATGGCCAAATGTCGACTCGAACTAGGGTTGTGTATCAGTTGGTTCAGTTCGATTTTGAAGTAAATTGGTTTTTTAAATAATGGTACTAAGTTGAAATAGTGTCATGTGTTATAATTCAATTATATTGTGTGTGAGTTGTTTCTTATTCTAGTTGATCTTCTAAAATATGATGACCTTGAAATAATGAGAAAAAAAATTAATTAAAATCATTCTACTCTTATTGAAGTATTCTTTTATTTGAATTATTCTAATGTCATATAGATGCAAGGAGTTAATATCTTTACTGAAATATGAAAAATTATCTAAAGAAGTCGATGATACAATGACGTTTTAAGATATTAACTTGTCTGCAAGTGCAATAAAGTTTAATTCTTGTTTGTCGATATTATTTCAACCTCGATATATTTCGAAGACAAACAAAGCACCACAAATACAATATAATTTTGTAAATCGAATCATAACATAACACATTATTTGCTCTTATTACTATTCCTACAAAGTTGAATTAGCTCTTCAGCAACAGCATCCATCTCTTCATCTCTTATAGATTTCAAATTCTTGCTGATTTCTCTCACTTTAGCCCTCAAAATTTCCCCTGTTTCCCCTGTTACGACACTTTTAAGAGTTTCCGCGATTTCTCCTCTGTGAATTTTCCCATCATCATCTCTAACAATCTCCACCGCGACTCCCAATTCTACCATCAACTTAGCATTTATAGGTTGATCATTATGAATAGGCATTGCGATTATAGGAACCCCGAAATCTATACTTTCCATTGCTGAATTCCAACCACAATGACTTATAAATCCTCCGGTGCTCGGATGATTTAGAATTCTTGGTTGTGGTGCAAATTTGTCCAAAACTCTTCCCCTTTCTCCAATTCTTTCAAGAAAACCTTTTGGTAATGCATCTTCGAGATTTCGCTCTTCACCTTTCGGAAATCTTGCAACCCATATGAAATTAACATTACTTAACTCCAGCGCGAAAGCTACTTCTTCCATATCTTCTTTTGACAAGAAATACTCACTCCCAAAGGAGACGAAAACAGTTGAATTTTCATGTTTTGTTCCAAGCCAATCGATAAGCTCCTTGTTGTCCGCATCATTAGTGATCAAATCTTGGAATGGTGGACCAACTGGAACAACTTTCCAATTGCACAATTCAGTGCAGTAATCTATGTATTTAGCCTCGATAGTTCTAGACGTACACATCAACATCATTTGCTTATTTCCCTCGTCTAGACGACCCCCTTCTTCAGGTTCTTTCGCGAGTATTTCTCTGATCTTTACTTTCTCAACTTCCGGGAGATGAATAGCAGGGAAAGGGAATTCAACCCCTGGATTCTTTCGAAAGCTGAAAAAATACGAAAACACAGCTGCACACGAAGTTAGCAGCTTACCTGCTGGAATGTTTTGTTCATTCGCAACATGTTCAGCCCACGGCTGCAATACATCGTAAATCAATAAATCAGGTTTCAGATTTTGCAAGATTCTCGAAAAGTTTGGTTTGGACATTTTCAGGGCCTTATGAAGGGTGGGATTGAGATGGGGTGGGAGGCCATTCGTCGTATGGTAATGAGGAGGAAGTTCGGGTAATTCTGGCAATTGAAGTTCGATAAGATGAATCGAATCAGCATACTTTTCAGGGATTTTCTTGATGATGGATTCAAGATTGATTCGCGTGGAACAGAGGTAAATCAAGAATCCTCTATCCGCGAGTTGCTTGGCTATGTTTAGAAATGGTGAAATGTGTCCATAAGCTAACCATGGAAACATTAGTACCCTCAAATTAGTAGCCATGAATCAAAATATTGAAATAAGTTGATTTGGGATTTCTCTATGTATAGAGTGAAATGAGAGATAGAGGACAAAAAAAAAGTCTTTGCCAAATTATTATTTCGCAAATAAAAGTCAAAAATTATTAACTCACATCTCTCTTCAAATTATTTGAGTAAAAGATATTTAATACTGTCTTGGTCAAACTTTTTAGTTTTCATGGTTTGCTTTTTTAAAGTTAAACTATAAAAACTTTTAGATTATACTATTTTTTTAATTAATTATCTAAATTTTTTGTTTAAATTATCAAATTAAAATAATTTAATTTAACTTTGAAAATTAGTCATATTTTTCTAATTTTTACATTGTTATATATCGATTTGTATTCAATAACTTTGGTAATTGTCACGATCGAGTCTACACCCCAACCGAGATACAGTACTTGAAACCACAAGTGATTCGAGGCTAGCCCTTAGCTTAACGTATCAAGACATCATATCATATGAAACTAATGCAGAAACTGAAACATAAGTCTTAATAAGGAAATCAATAAATCCATGATGACTAAACAACTAATATCTGAGTAAGCCTTTAGCATCTAAACTAAACCCACACAGACACACACACCTCAAACCAAACAGACAAAGAAAATAACACTAAAGTTTAACAAACAACTAATCCACAAAGTCCCCAAATGAGCACACTACTTGAACCCATTACTCTTCTTACAAAGTTGAATCAGCACTTCAGCAGCAGCATCCATCTCTTCACCTCTTATAGATTTCAATTTCTTGCTGAGATCTCTAACTTTGCCCCTCAAAATTTTCCCTTTTTTCCCTATGATGACATCTTTAAGAGTTTCCGCGATTTCTCCTCTGTGAATTTTCCCATCATCATCTCTAACAATCTCCACCGCAACTCCCAATTCTACGATCAACCTAGCATTCGATGGTTGATCATATTGCATAGGCATAGCTATTATAGGAACCCCGAAATCTACACTTTCCATTACTGAATTCCAACCACAATGACTTATAAATCCTCCAGTACTCAGATGATTTAGGATTCTTGGTTGTGGTGCAAATTTGTCCAAAACTCTTCCCCTTTCTCCAATTCTTTCAAGAAAACCCTTTGGCAATGCATCTTCGAGATTTTGGTCTTCCCCTTTCGGAAATCTTGCAACCCATATGAAATTAACATTACTTAACTCCAACCCGAAAGCTACTTCTTCCATATCTTCTTTGGACAAGAAATACTCACTCCCAAAGGAGACGAAAACGGTTGAATTCACATCTTTTGTTCCTAGCCATTGCATAAGCTCCTTGTCGTCCGCGTTGTTAGTGATTGGATCTTGAACTGGTGGACCAACAGGAACAACCTTCCAATTGATCAATTCAGTGCAATGATCAATATATTTGGCCTCTATAGTTCTAGAGGTACTTATCAACATGATTTGAATATTTCCATCCACTAAACGATCCTCGAAATCATTAGCATACATTTTTTCTTGTTCATTTTTGCTGAGATTAATCGCGGGGAATGGGAATACAGCCTCTGGTTTCTTCACCAAGTAAAAAAGATACGAAAAAACGGCTGCACCAAAAGTTATGAGCTTGACAGCAGGAATGTTCTGTTCACTCGCGACGTGTTCAGCCCATTGCTGCAACATGTCATAAATCACCAAATCAGGTTTAAGATTTTGCAAGATTTTCGCAAAGTTTGGTTTGGACATTTCCAGGGCCTTATGAAGGGTGTGATTTAGATGGAGCGGGAGACCATTCGTCGTATGGTAATGAGGAGGAAGTTCGGGTAATTCTGGTAAGTGAAGTTCGATAAGGTGAATTGAATCAGCATACTTCTCAGGGATTTTCTCGATGGTGGATTTGAGATTTATCGGTGTAGAACAGAGGTAAATCAAGAATCCCCTGTCCGCGAGTTTCTTAGCTACGTTTAGAAATGGCGAAATGTGTCCATAAGCTAACCATGGAAACATTAGTACCTTCAAAGTAGCCATTGAAAGACACTAAAATTTGTGATTGTAAAATGAGAGATGGGACTTTTAGTGCCATTGGAGGCCTTATTTATAAGAGATTGAAAATTAATATGTTTTTGCCAAATAATTATTTGGCAAATGAAAGTCAAAAGAATTGACCATTTAAGAGTCAAAGTGGGGAAATTATTATTACTCGCATTTAAAAATAGTAAAAGATATTTAATAAAGATGTATATATCTCCTTAAAAGTATTTTCCCCATTTATTTGGAATTTTCTAGAAGGTATAATGAAAAACTCAATATAGATTCACTTGACAAATTTGTATACATTTGTTTGCATTAGTATTTACTAATATGTATTTATCAAATACATTTGTATGGGATACATTCATCTGTATTCATTAATAAATTTTTTTATATTAATATATATTTCTAATATAACAAATATGTATACATTTATTTAAAATTTGTATCGAATCAAACTAATTCATTATAAAATGAGATATAAAGTACATTTTAATCGCTACAAGAGAAAAATGATATGGACTTGAGAATTCATATCGAAAGCTAAAGAAAAAATAGTCTCGAGCACATATTTGAACTATCATTATTTCGTAGGTTCATATTCTAACTATTACATGTTTCATTTTTCTGTCTGAATTATCACCATATATATGTTAAAACAGACCTAGTTGAGTAGATGATTAAGAACAACGGAGAGTGTTGACCTAATCAACTTGAGATGTGTTTTAATACATAGATATTGATAATTCAGATACGAAAAGACACAACTAATAGTTCATAAAGCTAAAGAAAGTCATATTTGAGAATCTTATTATTTCGTTAATCGAATCATAACATACCACATTATTTGCTCTTATTACTATTCCTACAAAGTTGAATTAGCTCTTCAGCAGCAGCATCCATCTCTTCATCTCTTATAGATTTCAAATTATTGCTGATTTCAATCACTTTAGCCCTCAATTTTCGTCCTGTTTCCCCTGTTACGACACCTTTAAGAATTTCCGCGATTTCTTCTCTGTGAATTTTACCATTATCATCTCTTACAATCTCCACCGCGACTCCCAATTCTACGATCAACCTAGCATTCATTGGTTGTTCAAGATGCATAGGCATGGCAATTATAGGAACCCCGAAATCTATACTTTCCATTACTGAATTCCAACCACAATGACTTATAAATCCTCCGGTACTCGGATGATTTAGAATTCTTGGTTGTGGTGTGAATTTGTCCAAAACTCTTCCCCTTTCTCCAATTCTTTCAAGAAAACCTTTCGGCAACGCATCTTCAAGATTTCGCTCTTCACCTTTTGGAAATCTTGTGATCCATATGAAATTAACATTACTTAACTCCAACGCGAAAGCTACTTCTTCCATATCTTCCTTTGACAAGAAATACTCACTCCCAAAGGAGACATAAACAGTCGAATTCTCGTCTTTTGTTCCAAGCCAATCGATAAGCTCCTTGTTGTCCGCGTCATTAGTGATCAAATCTTGAACTGGTGGACCAACTGGAATAACCTTCAAATTGAGGAATTCAGTGCAATAATCTATGTATTTAGCCTCTATAATTCTAGAAGTACACATCAACGCGATTTGCGTATTTCAATCAGCTTGACGATCCCCATCATCCGGTTTTTCTATCTCTTTCGCACATTTTAACGTATCGTTCATTTTCACTTGTTCACTTTTCCTGAGATAAATTTCAGGGAATGGGAATACATCCCCTGGTTTATTCAGTGATATGGTAAAATACGAAAACACAGTTGCACCCGAAGTTAAGAGCTTAACTGTTGGAATGTTCTGTTCATTCGCGACACGTTCAGCCCATTGCTGCAATATGTCATAAATCACCAAATCAGGTTTCAGATTTTGCAAGATTTTCGAGAAGTTTGGTTTGGACATTTTCAGGGCTTTTTGAAGCGTGTTATGGAGAAAAGGTGGGAGATCATTGGTAGTATGATAATGAGGAGGAAGTTCGGGTAATTCTGGCAATTGAAGTTCGATTAGCTGAATCGAATCTTTTCGGGGATTTTCTCGCTGGCATATTCGAGATTGATGGACGTAGAACAGAGGTATATCAAGAATCCCCTGTCCGCGAGTTTCTTGGCTACGTTTAGAAATGGAGAGATGTGTCCATAAGCCAAAAATGGGAACATTAGTACCCTCAAAGTAGTATGATTCTCTATAGCCATGATCAAAATATTGAAATGATATACTAAATTCTTGTTTTTATGTAGAATGAAATGAAAGAAGCATGAGAAATGAGAGATGGTTTCTCTATGGAGTTGGCTTGCTTATTTATTAAAGAGAAAAGACTCGAATATGTATCGAACTCCGAGAAAATGCTCATTTATGGCATTGTTAAAAGCTTGTCTCAATTATGTCATTTTCGTTAAGAAAAAGACTCATCCATGTTATTATTTGTTAACTTTGATGATATAGATGAGCAAAAATTTTCACGGATGACATAGATGAGTCTTTTTCTCAAAGTTTGATAATATATTTGAGTCATTTTTTTCTTTTAAAATGATTTAATTAATGACGTAATGAATCATAACAAACCACGTATATTGAAAAGACATAATACATATATTGGACCCGACTTCAAATTTTAACTTTGACCTCCAACTTTAATAATGTACAAACAGACACTTTAACTATCCAACTTTTAAATAAATAAATAAACACATGAATCCTACATGGCACATTATACGTAGAACACCACGTAGGATGAAAAATGATATGTAGGATGACATGTAGGACATATGTTTCTATTTGTTCAACTTTATACAAGTTTTAAGTGTTTATTTGTGCACATCCAAATTTTAAAGGCATAAATGTGATTTGAAACCAAGTTAAAGGGTACATTTATGTATTATGCCTATTGAAAAAAGTGGAACTTTTGCATATAACCACTAAAAAATAACCTAATTATGTTCTATAATTACAGTTTGGTAATTACAATTCGTAGTCACATGTTATAGGGATGAGAAAGGTGAGCGAGATTGAGAGAGAGGTGAGAAAGGCGAGGGAGAGAGGACATAGAGTGGAGAGATTTGAATTGTATAAGTATATCGGTTATATAATTGTATATTATACATATGTATTTGCATATATGACAAGCGAGATTGAGAGAGGGAGGAGAGAAGCGAACGAAACTATGAGGAGAACGAGAGAGGCAGGCGAGAGAGGGCAGTGAGTTAGAGAGAGTTGAATTGTTTATGTATATCGGTTAAATAATAGTATATTATACATATGTATTTGTATATTCTGGCGAATTATACATATACAAACATGACTAATTATACAAGAGTCATCCATTGTAATTAATGTATAATGTTAGTCAAGAATAATAATATAACAAACTATAGCTATGATGAGTAATTATGTAGCATAAGTTTGTTTAACTGCGTAATTTTTCCTAAAATAAATTTGCTACATCATAACTGTTTTCAGTTAACAAATAATGACATATATGATATTTTTCCTAATCGAAAATGATATAAATAAATCAAACTTTTAATCAATTGACATAAATTGATCTATTTTTCTTAAAATTCGATGATATATTTGAAATTTTTTCCTTTAGCATTAAAAACATAAAAGAGATAAAGGAGAAAAAGGAACATCTACACAAATACGTTAAAACTTTAACATTAAAAGCTCATCGAAAAACACACATTGGAATTTCCAAAAAAGTTGTGACAACAATGTATGTGAAAATACGAAAACCTATGACTTCATTTAAATGATCACATTACTCCCTCTGTCAAAAATATTATAACTAATGATAAAAGTAAATTAAAAATCAAGTATAAAATTATTCATTAATTTCATAAAGTGAATAATTATCGTTGGACATTCCAAAATAATATAGTGGACAATTATTGTTGGTCATAAAAAATTTCATATAATGTGTAGGAAATCGCTAACTACTAACCATATGTTTTATTCTGTAATATCAATTAGGCATCACGTAAATAGGACTCTTAGCTTGACTTTTAAATTTTAACTTTGATTTTAAATTTTTAAAGTGCGTATAGAGACACTTTAACTATCCAACTCTTAAATTAAAAAAAACACTCAAATATTGCAGCCCAAACACGTGAAATGTAACGTAGATTAATGAGCCACTCAATTACTGTAAACTAATTTAAAAATTTACACGTAGATATTAGAATTTTAAAAAAACTAAATTAATACTCCCTCCGTCCAATGTTATTTATCATGTTGCGATTTTCGAAAGTCAATTTGACTAATTTTCAAAGTTAAATTAGATTACATTAATTCGATATTTAAACAAAAAATTTAGATATTCATAAATATATGAAAAGTACTATAAATTGCAATTTTTTGCATATCAATATAAAGAAAACATACATCTTAAAATATTAGTCAAAGTTTCTATAATTTGACTCTAAATATAAAAACTATGACAAACAATAGTGGACGGAATAAGAATTAAATCGGAAACTTACATAAATATACTATAATAAAAAAATATTTACCATTTATAGCAATCATATTTTTTTTTCACTTGATCACTTTTAATTCATTTATAATACAAGTTTAATTCATATTACAAAAAATAATTTTTTATTCACATATAATACAAATTTTAATGATAGATAATTCATTTATCACACATTTTTAATACATTTATAATACAATGTGTCAAATTTTTACCAAACAAACATAATATATTTTAAAAAGTAATTATAATTCATATATATTGCATACATAATTCACTTTTAATGCATACTGCAGATTTAACATAATATTGCTATAAATAGTAATAAATAAAAAATATTACTAAAAGCAGTAATTATTTATTAAAATGTATCAATTCATGTAATTTTTCCTTAAATTAATACAAGGGTGAAAGACCGTTCCATTTTACCTTGTTACTCTCTTAAAATCACAAACACCTAGCTGGGAATTTACAACCAAAATCGTGAATCAAGGAAAAAATTGTTCAAAGATTTGTGCTAAAAGTTCATATTAGTCTAATGTTTATATGTTCATCTTCGTCAATTTAGTCTAGGTATGTTTAATTTTGTCCTTTTGAAAGTTAATTTTTTGATAGAAGGTTGAATCTTTGCTTAAATTTGGATTGTTTACAAAACAACGACCTGTATTTTTTGTGGACTAAAAAATCTTCAATTATAGCTCTTTTTCCACAATTACAAAAAAATTAGAAGTCATTTGCACTAAAAACGAGTAGAAATCGTGTTAAAGAGAGAAAATAAAGCTTGATTTGAAAGAAGAGGGAAAAAAAAAGAGATTTTGATTAAAAATAATATAAAGATGTGTATAAAAGAGATTCATTAAGGGTATAATTGTCATTTTAAACATATTTGCTTAGTGTTGTAGGTCTCGAAATTTACTCTTCATGCGCGCAGATTGAGTGTATGTCACGTGTTTTGTTAGGTGGGATTCGTGTTTTTGAATTTAAAAGTTGGATATTTAAAATATCTTTTTATTCACTTTGAAAATTTAAGGTTTAAGTTAAAATTTGAAGCCAAGTTAAATATCTTATTTATGTGTTATGCCAACCCCACCCCCACCCCTTCTCCCATAAATATGCCCTTTAATTTGATCTCAATTTACATTTATAACCTTTAACTTTGAGTTTGCACAAGTAAACATTTACACTTTTATAAAGTAGAACAAATAGACACGTGAGTCCTACGTGACGTAATTCACACGTGACACCACATAGGACCCAAATTGTCATGTAGGACATCATGTATAACGCATGTGTTTATTTGTTCGACTTTACACAAAATCAAATGTATACTTATGCACACCCTATGTTGAAGGACAGAAACATAAAATAAGGTTAAAGTTAAAAGACATATTTATGTATTATGCGTGTAAATAAATATATAAAGTCACGACCGTTCAACGTCAAAGTCTCCTCTTGAGGGCCCTTGCAACTTCCCAATCAATGACCAAATACCACAAGTCTTCCATTGGCTTGGGACCCAATGGAGTAATGAAAAGTCCACAAAGCTTCAATAATTGCATTTTTACTCATATGTTTTATAACAACAATTATCGCAAAGTCTCAGTTGAACCCTGAGTAATACACAAAAAATGTCTAAAGGAAACTCTCAGCTTAAATACATTACATTAATCCTTCAAATCATCTTTCTGCAAACATCCAATGCTTGGAAGATTAACTGTCCTGATTCTGCCTGTGGCGATATCCGTAGCATAAAACACCCTTTTTGTTTAAACACTGATCCAAAACATTGTCGTGTTTTTTCAGGATTTGAATTAGCTTGTGAAGGTAACCAAACCGTTAAATGGTCATCCTCCAAGAAGTTTCACGTTCAAGGCATCGACTATGCTAATAACACAATTCATTTGGTAGATCCGACTTTACAAACACATGATCTATGCTCTCTCCCACCTTCTAAGCTTAACTTTCACCAATACAATAATTTCTTCTATGAATACAATTGGTATAGAGAACCCACGCCCATTTTCATGTTCAATTGTCCATT